ATAAAAAAATATTTTTTTAACATTCAATCAAGAACATTTATTCAACAATTTGTGCTACTAATGTATTGTTACAATACATAGTATATACTTCTCTGCCTCACGTTTCAAGACTAATCACGTGTACGCGAGACAGTCAGACTTGTTAAGACGGATAGATGGTCGAATGGGAGGAGAAATAAAGCGGCCGGCCGCAATTATCTTAATGGAGTTGTGGACACCGGCACGAGGAACATTATCGATTCATGCATGAACGTCGCTACTACGTAATTCCTGTGCGATAAGCCGCCGAGAAAAATGTTCGCAGCAAGTTTCCCACTCAGAACTTCATAAAAACCAAAAGGATTAATTTTGATTATCCTTAATCATAGCTTCATCATTGTAATAATGTTTTACATAGTGTATCAATTTTAAATATAATCATAAACTAATTCATCATGATTCATCGTAGACTAACGCCTCCGGGCCATCAATATGTTTCTTGTTTCCAGATTATTATTATTGCGACAAAACTGATATTGTTTCAGATTGGTGCAGCTGTAGAAGAGGCTCGCGAAACGTTGGAATGAACAATCCACTCGTTCGAGCCGCCACGTGAGCTGCACGTGCCAGGAACGTGTCGGAACAACTGGTGCCCCGTCGCCTCTGGCACCATGTGCATCCAACGTATGTACACGCGTGCCGCACGCACGTCGCCTTTTTTCGCAACGTAAGATCGCCTAGCACAACGTGTTACCCTTTACGATCATTGAGTTGTCGCACTTTATTCCTGAGCTTTGTCGAGCTTTGTTACTCGGATCGAATGACTTTCATCATAATGATTGTACATATAGTATAATATTGGAACCATGGATCTTAACTGCAGTACATTGCTTTTTAATATGTGTTTACGTCACGCGTGCCTGTATTCATTTCTATTATGAAAAAATAGTGAAGATTATATCTTGAAAAACAATACTAAGATCGATGCAGGCGAACGAACAGTTCTTGACGTTCCCTAAAATTTGAAGCACTTGCCTGCGGGGGTCCAACTCCTGGCGCCCGCATTTTCGACCGAGGACCGCGAGCACTCGACTTAAAACTCGCGAGGATGGCTCCGACTCGATGATAAACAACTCGAAATGCGATTCCTAATCGCATGTAACAATGCCGTTGTAGGGCTAGTGTGACCAACTGCCGTGTCTGACACTACGCCGACGACATATGGGACAGAGTCGATGGTCTTGTACTTAATGTTTTGTGTTTTGTAACCCCTGCGCTGACGAGCTGCTTTGATAACCACCTTTACGATCATTGAGTTGTCGCACTTTATTCCTGAGCTTTGTCGAGCTTTGTTACTCGGATCGAATGACTTTCATCATAATGATTGTACATATAGTATAATATTGGAACCATGGATCTTAACTGCAGTACATTGCTTTTTAATATGTGTTTACGTCACGCGTGCCTGTATTCATTTCTATTATGAAAAAATAGTGAAGATTATATCTTGAAAAACAATACTAAGATCGATGCAGGCGAACGAACAGTTCTTGACGTTCCCTAAAATTTGAAGCACTTGCCTGCGGGGGTCCAACTCCTGGCGCCCGCATTTTCGACCGAGGACCGCGAGCACTCGACTTAAAACTCGCGAGGATGGCTCCGACTCGATGATAAACAACTCGAAATGCGATTCCTAATCGCATGTAACAATGCCGTTGTAGGGCTAGTGTGACCAACTGCCGTGTCTGACACTACGCCGACGACATATGGGACAGAGTCGATGGTCTTGTACTTAATGTTTTGTGTTTTGTAACCCCTGCGCTGACGAGCTGCTTTGATAACCACTCGAAAAGGTAAGGGCCGCCACTTGAAAGGGATCTTCATGATGACGATACTACCGATCAGTAGGCTAATAAAAATTCAAACCTTTCATGTTTTTAGCATAAAAAGTTCGACGTCCTGCATGTCAATTTTTTTAGAGGGTATCAGAAATATTTCGTATGGACACATGAATTGTTTAAGTATTTATGAAAATCAAATGAATTTTTCAAAAGTGAAGATGAATTATAGAAACGATATTTAATAGTGTAAACAAAAAGAAATGTGAACAGAAAGAAATGTAAAGAAGAAATAAAATATCAAATTAAAAGAGACTCACGTTCTTCCTTGATCGGAAAACAGCTCGGTGTTTTGATCTTCCGTTCTAAAACAAAAGGAAAAGGAGAAACCAATTGAGTTCATTCTAAAAACGAACATACCGAACTTAACATAATCTTTATTCAAAACAATGATAATAAAAGAAAAAAAATTAGAATGCAATAAAAGAAAATTGACAGATGTTAAATAAAATCAAGTAAATCGAAAATTATATGAAAAGAAAGGTAAAAATATTTTTTCTAGTTGCATAAACAGTCGGGCAACTGGAATTGAATAAATTGTTCTTTCATTTCCATGTTTGGCGGTTTCAGTGGAGGACTTTAGAAACGGCGAAGCAGAGCGCAGCCTCGCTCTGGCAAGCGCCGTAACTTTTTTATGGAGCATTGTGTCAGTTATATCTCAGCTCGACGACACACTTCTCGCGGTACTATCATAAATAATTTATCTACAAACGAGTGTCTACTACATCTGCGCCGTACCCTGACTCCCTGCGCAAGGGAATTAAACTGTTCGCTGGATAGAGATTCCTGCACTTAATTTCCCTTACCTTTCCACTTCTCTATATAAAATTTAATTAAAATTCATTCCTGTGTCAATTAATTTTTGCAAATTGATAAAAAGTCAACCGTGATGAAGCTGGTGGTGTTCGAAATGTATGGTGCGGTTTAAACGGCGTTTAGTTCCCATCAAGAGCCACTTAATCTCCGATCTGGTAAACTCGGCGCAACAATAGACGGAACGCGTGCTGAAGAGGGTTACACGTGATTACGCCCGACGAAACTTCATCGCGGAGTCACGTGGCGGCGGAAAAACAGTGTCGGCCGAAAAATCGAACCACAAAACCCGAAAAGATCCACGCAGCACCGCCTACGAGGAAAACAATCCCCGGGTAATGCGTTCCCACGTACGCATGTAACTATGTATCACGAAACGTGAATCTAATCAACCCCCTCGAGCTGTAGCGTTTCGGATTACACGGTGTTTCATCGTCGCTTGATATTTGGATCGGAGCGTTTCGAGAGTTTGTTTCAGATTTTCATACTTTTCTGTACTGAGTGTTTTGTAGACAGCCAAATGGTAATATAAAAACAGTATAATAATTAGAGGAAAAGTAATTATTATATTCTGCTATAAATCGTCTATCTATTATGTTCTGTGTGTAGATTAGTTCTTTCTTATACAGGATGAGTCTCGTAACTTCGAATGCTCGAATGTTTCGAATAACTAATAAA